TGTAAGGGATATATGTTTTTTTTTTAGTTTTGATAGTTTTCAGTACTGAGTGCAAACTCTTCTAGATGAGCATAAAGAAAAGGTCACTAGACTCACTTCCTTTTAAATGTGATGTACTCTCTTTATATTCTATGAAAACATGTGTGTTTGTAACATTTTTGGATATATGGATATTTCATATTGAGTTTTACAGACATTACATTTATATAATATAATCTCTACTATGTATTTCTAAACAATTAAGACATTTTACCCGAGGAAAAATTAAGACACCTTTATATTTATTTCCACTTAAGTTTTAGACACATGATTAGAACATAGTTACTCATCATTTTGAAGGAGCCTTGCCCTTTTTAAACCTCATATATCTAGTCTGGTGGATTCCTGACGGTTGAAGTGAGAGTCAACCCCATGGTGAGATCAAAAGAGTTGCCTGAGTCTTCAGGAAGAAGATAGAAGCATCGTACAAGGCCGATAAAGGATATCAAATTTTCATCAGTTAGAATACTATGTTTTGTAGATATTAAGTGAGATGGTTTTTAAAAGTATTTTCTTCTGTTTCTTTGGTCTTGTAATGTTTTGACATGACAAATTTAATGCTATGGTTGTTGTTTACAACCACTGTAAATTAAATAGCATGGCAGCTTCAACAGTTTAGGTTTAGCTCCCAGCTCTGGGAACCACTGGGCCCCTGGCTGTCTGCACACAGGGGACACTTTGCCATCACCACTGTCTGCTGGATTGATGGCTGCTGCTTGGGGTCATTGGATTACAGAGATTTTATGGTGCTTGACAATTGTCCGTGGCTGTACGGCTGCATGTCAGAGAGCGGAAGAGCCTGCTCACTTTGGAGAAATCAGAGAGGCTGTAAATCTGACACAGGAAAAGAAAAGGCTACATTCATTCAGTGTAATTATTTACACAGCAAAGACTGGTTAACTGACTAATGTTGGATACAGCTGCACACCAGCAGAAATTGGGTTTATTCCCATCCCTGAGGTAGATGTTATGTAGCCGTGGACTTCATGTTGACAGAATACTTACTGATGTGGACTAAAGTTGGACTACAAAGTCTTTTATATGATTTTAATTCTGAAATTATTCAAATTGGGACTTCCTACCAAGATGGGTTCCTGATGGGTAACGCTTCAGTTGCAGTTATCATTTATTGCTTAATTGTGTCTGGCTCTGGACCACAGTTTAAAAATTGTCCACCATGAGAATAGATTAGATTCACAAATCCATGTCCAGCCATGAAGACTGGAATTTGCAAAAGCCAGAAAGGAATGC